TTGATTCAAACATCTAAAGCGAAGATCATCCAACTTCAGTGGGTTCCAGAGTCACCTGTCTGGCTACCCCAGAGTGACCTGCTCAGATCTGGGCTGGGATCTGCCAATGCGCATTTCTGACAGGTTCACTGGAAGGGTGATGCTAATGATCTGGCACTGGCTTTAGAGCTGGGAGCTGGTTGGAAGTTAACCCCAGGGGACAGGAAACATCTAGACCTTCATATGTGTGCTGGGTAGGTATATTGAGGTAGGTATATTTGAAAGCTCTTTCATAGTTGACCTCTGTCTCTTTTCACAAAGTTTCTTGAAAATGACTTAAAAATACTCCTCATCTAAAAAATGATTCATAGTGGAAAAGTTAGGTGAAAGGAAATTAAAGAAAAGAATTTGGTATAAATGATTGGAATCTAATCAGGATTTTTCTTCTCTTTGTGCAGAGTTATGCGGTCTTCTCAGTTTTGTTTTCCGGTTTGCATCTGGGGAAGAGAATCTTTGAATTTGATCCCTCCAATAAAAATTCTTCTTGCCCAAACTTCCTCACAGAGAATGTCTTCTTACTTAAACAACTTAGATGGTTTGAGTGGATCGATCGATCTTTGTATAAAAGTAATCCGTAAAATTTTGCAAAATGGCAATTGTGCAACAATTAGATATAATCAACAATAATAATAATAATTGAACAATAGTATATGTTAAACATCTATCACCTGTTTATTCAAGAAATCTAAGAAATATAATGGGGGACCCACATGAAAACTAAAATAAAATTCCAGTTTTCAAAATATTTAAAACCTAGTGTGCAAAAACACATGTACAAAATAGCAAGAGGATAATTATGTCTTTAACAGAGTCCCAAGATTTTAAGCGTAACAATTTGCAGAAAGGAAAGACCAAAATAGGCCGGTAAAGGCACAAAAGAGCAAATTTAAATTTGATAGAGAGGAGAAAAAAGAGCAGTGACAGTTTTGAGCAGTTTTACCAAAATTCAGACGCAAAAGTCTCACTTTCCTCAAACAAAAAAACTCCAAGACTTTATTTAACACACATACAGCTGTGGCATAGTAAAGAGAAGTAAATTTGCAATCAGAAAACTTGAATTGAGTTGCAGAATTGCTATTTACTACTGTATGACCTTGCAGGAGTCATATGACCTTTTTTTGAGTCTTGGTTTCTGCAAAAATAAGATGGGAATTTCCAGTATCAACTGGGCTTCAGTTAGAAACACAGAAACAAATATCTGAAGCAAAAGGGCAATGGATATGGGTCATCAGGCGCTTAAAAACAGTAGGAAAGACTGGAAGAACAGACATGGAGAGAAGTAACAGCACTAGCTTTCTCATTTCCTGGCGTAACTGTGAGTCCACTCAGAGGTCAAGGAGCCTCATGCTGGAGCTAACGTCCAGAGCAATGCAAAGCTCATGTTTACCTGTGATCACCTGAGGATTGGCTCATGGTACTGCTGGAGGAAGGATAAACTGCATCCGCATTCTGTCTTCCAAATGTCGCCCAAGGCCATCACATTGGCATGAATTAAACTAGAGCCCTGTCAGTAAGGTAGTTGAGGAAGTATAGTTCTTAGGTTTCCAGCCCTGAAAATTCATAGAAGTGGGTAGAGCTGAAAGTTAAGTCCTGACAATGGTCACCCACTGAATGAAAGAGTGATTGACAGCTGAGGTTTGCATCCCGTTAGTGGGTCATGAAATCAATTTAGAGGATTCTGGCTTGCATTAAAGAAAAAAAAATAGAATAAAGTAGAAAACAACATAATACTTTGCAGACTAAGAGTAAGTATTGTTTTGCGAAACTTTTATTTTGGTGCTCTATCTTTAAGTGTGTATGTGAGATATACTGGCTCAGGATATGGATTTGAAAACGCCAGAATAAAAAATTAATTAAATGGAAACACTTTGTGCCACTTTATGAATTGTAAAGTGCAAAGCAAATATTCTGAATTACTGACCTATTTGCCTTTCCTGAGCGCTATTTTCCGTTTTTACCCAACCTTAGTACTATGTCACTGTCACATAAGATACCACCTGACTTCCCCTGGCTTGTACACTCAGGCTTTTCACACACTTGTTGGTGTCCACCAAATAAAATTAGTAGAGACAGAAAACGGAGGACACAAGCAGACACAAAGTGGCCCTGGTGTCCGATCTCTCTCAGAACCAATCTAACTTTCCTGGTAATCCGCCTACTTACCCAAGAGAAACGCCTGCTGCCATTTAACTATGGGGAAGGGAAAAAAGCAGCAGAATGGCATGTAGAATTTCTCTCAAAAGATAAATTAAGCACCTTCCTCATCGTCGTGAGGTCAATTTCCACATGGAACGGTATCCCCATTCATATGACTGGCTGCTGGGCTTTTCCCATTACCAACATCTGGACACTCTCAGATAATATTCCAGGGTCAGATTCAGACTTCACGGAAAGCATGCTTTGAAATTTTATTAACGGAAAGATCATCAACATCTTTTTCCTCATAGGCCGAATTATTTCAAGGCTTCTCATATCTTTTGGAATGGGTTGAATTTCATTCTGCTGGAGGGTAAGTGAAACTTTAAACGGGGTACAAATCAAATCATGTTCTTGATTTGTGGAAGTTTCTCCTTATCTATCCTTCCCTGTACTTGCTGTTTTTTTTTTTTTTCCTTTTAATTGCTTGTAAGAGGGTTGTCTGTGATAGAATAACTGGTTTTTCCTGGAACGGTTAATACATAATAAAAAGAGCACCATTCACTAATAACAATTTACTGATTGTTCTCCCAGCCCCCTGGGAGGCCAAGAGAGGTGGTGACTCCTCTTTATTGCAAGGGTGTAAGACAAGGTGATAGGATCCAGGTCAAGGCCAAGTAGGAATTCAAAACTGAGACGTGTTTATTCTATAGAAGAGCATTTTCCACCTCTCCTCCAACTCAGGTGACGGGAGGAGAGTTCCTATCAGAGCCAGGCTGCACTTATCAAAATGTTCCATGCTCATATTTGTCCCCAGGCGTCAGGGAGACCAGGAAATGAGAACGATTCTTCTCGACACCCAGGAGAGGTGGGGTGGTGGGAGGGGGAATCATTGGTGGGGGAGACCTGAGAGGTGCACCCTTGGGAAGATCAGCGAGCAAAGCAAATTCAGGAAACATGGAGAGTAATTAAGTTAGAAAATGTCTCCCAAGGCTGATTCATAGTGGGATAGGGAGGGGGAGCATGGGAGGAATAGGCGAACTCTAGATAGGGCAGAGGGGTGGGAGGGGAAGGGAGGGGGCAGGGGGTAATTAATGATGGTGGAATGTGATGATCATTACTATCCAAAGTATGTGTATGAAGACACGAATCGGTGTGAATATACTATGCATACAACCAAAGGAAAAAATTCTCCTTTTCTTGCTCTTTCTTTCTTTCTTTCTTTCTTTCTTTCTTTCTTTCTTTCTTTCTTTCTTTCTTTCTTTCTTTCTTCCTTCCTTCCTTCCTTCCTTCCTTCCTTCCTTCCTTTCTTTCTTCCTTCCTTCCTTCCTTCCTTCTTTCCCTCCTTCCTTCCTTCCTTCCTTCCTTTCTTTCCTTCTTTCTTTCTTCCTCCCTTCCTCCTTTCCTCCTTCCTTCCTCCCTCCCTCCGTCCGTCCGTCCGTCCGTCCGTCCCTCCCTCCCTCCCTCCCTCTCTCTCTCTCTCTCTCTCTCTCTCTCTTTCTTTCTTTCTTTCTTTTTCTTTCTTCTTTTTTGGTACCAGGGATTGAACCCAGGGGTGCTCAAACACTGAGAAATATCCCCAGCCTCTTTTCATATTCTTAAATTTAGAGACAGGGTCTTGCTGAGTGGTTAGTGCCTTGCTTTTGCTGAGGCTGGCTTTGAACTCGTGATCCTTCTGCCTCAGCCTTCCAAGTCGCTGGGATCACAGATGTGCGTCACCGTGACTAGCTTTCCTTCTATCTTTTAATCTCAATTTACTTCTCCCGATGATCGTATGTTCAATTTTACTTTAAACGTGAAAGTTTAAGATTCCAAGAAATTAAATAGCTCACCCGAGTTTATACAACTAAATGAACAGAGAAGGTTTCCGCTGAGCTTCTCTGAATTCCCAAATTTGCATTCTTTCCAAAATAGCAGAGCAGAAAATGTCTGCAGAAACCCGGTTACGGTTCCAAGCCGTCCTGTGCAGTGAAACTGTGCTTCGAGTTATCTTCATGTATGCAGCCTGTGCCCAACACTGCCATAAAATTTGATCTCTGCATAGCTGGTTACTTGTTCCTAGGATTTTGTGGAGCTCTACAGGGGAGGTGAGAAGGAAAGGCCATGATCAGGATGGCATGTCCCTTGGAACAGAAATTCATTTGCCATTGAAGGATGTCACTGGGAGAGCCAGACAGTAAGGTGGTTTGGTGGTGGTATGTTTATTTCCTTTGTGTTTCCGGTACATGCAGCAGCGTGGTTCAGGCTGGGGCTAACCAGGACCAACTAGGCCCTGATTTGCAGGACACAGAGCAAAATGGAAAGGTGGGACCCTGTGTTAGTCAGTTTTCTGTCATTGTAACAAATACCCAGGGAAATTGACTTATAAAGAAAAAAGGTTGATTTTGGTTCAGTGTTGGAGGTTCCAGCTCATGCTCAGTTGGTCTCCTTGCTTTTGGTCTTGTGGAAACAGCATGTCATGGTGGGAACACATGTCAGTGCAAAACTACTTACCTCGTGGACAAGAGGCAAGAGAGAATGGGTGGGGGGGTGCTGGGATTCCATTGGGGACAGAGCCCAATTGACCTAAGACCTCCAACGAGGCCCCGCCTCTCAAAGGTTCCTCAGCCTCCTAGTAGTGCCATGCTGGTGACCAAGAAGTTTAGCACATGGACCTCTAAGATCCGAGCTACGTAGGCTGGACATGTGGCTCAGCGAATAGCATTTGCCTGGCTCGTGTGAAGTCCTGGGTTTGATCCCCAGCACTGCAAAAGAACAACAAAACAAGAGGTCCGAACTAGAGCAGGCTCTTTGGGGAAAGACCATTAAGGGTTTCAACATGGTGGAATCGGGGCGTTAAACCAGGTACAGAAAACTTTGAAATCTGGCCCTGGCACCAGCTCATATTGATTGGGTTCAACCAAGATACTCAGTGAAGACTTGTCCTTTGTTTCATCACGAACACAGAACCACCTGGCAGGGTAGAGGTGGGGTTCTGTCAAAAAGCACATCGACAACAGCAGCTGTCACAAACTCACTCGTTTTTTTCATGAAGTAGTTAATTCAAGAGGCATTTATGGACCTCTTACTGTATGCTAGGCATGTGCTGGGGGTTAGGGACTCTAGTCTGATACACAATCTGTATGTTTGGCTGCTCCCAAGCAGTAGCCATGGTCCTGGAGAGGAGAGGCTTAGACAGTGGATGTGGAAATAAAAGACCACTTCACCTCTCTACCCAGAAGTCTGTTCATCCAGGAGATGCTCAATGTCACCCCCCTCGCCCCCCGGGATGCCGTCCCTGAGGATGCACTGGGTTCTTTGATGGTACACAACAGAAGCTGATTCGGCTTCCTTTAGGGGAAAGACAGGTATTAATTT